CTACAGGCATACACTCCGACTCACCTATATTATCGCTCTCCCCTTGTAAATATTCAGGTCAGTCTTGATTCACAAGAAAATTGGGCACTAAGGAAAATATGGTCTGCTTCGAGTGGTTTATGTAAAGGGTATGTCCATGGTTCGCGACATAGAAGTACATGATTGTACTCGTATTCACTATCGGATGGAGTACAATGGCTAGAATACTGTCACTGATGTGCATGCATAAAAATCGTTAGCACTCGTTTTGAACACTAACAATTATCGATTGCACTCTTAACGATCGATATGCAAGTTATCGGTATAATTGTTTCAGCCCTAGTGCTAACATATAGAATATTATAACTGAGTGCAGGCACAAAGCATGAGGTGATACAGTGCAACATGACACAACATTTACATCTGATAACCAGCTACGAAAACAACTTTAGCGCGACTACATGCTTCTTTTGTTTACAAAGAACAGGATTATGCCCACGAATACATACAGCTTCCAGAACCTTCAACTGCTCAACATAACTTGCACGGCACAAAACAGAAAAGTGAGAATCATCGTACACACTAAGACAATCTGGACGTGATAACAAGTGACAAAATAAAGCTGACTTTTTGCTCACGTCGCTCTCTTCAGTCTCATCCCGCTCCTTTCCTTCAACCTCCTCCGCCTTATCCTCGTCCTCCGTCTCATCTTCATCATCATCGTCCTCATCACCATCACCACCAGTGTTGTGTCATGTTGCACTGTATCACCTAATGCTTTGTGCCTGCACTCAGTTATATATGTCAGCACTATGTTTGACACCTATTATGAAATGCTGTAGCACTTCCTTTTGCGTTCACACTTTTAATTATGCTGTTATAAAATGTTCTATTTTTGTACACAGTACCCTCAGTTCCGATACTATTCACAGATGAGCGGAACACGAAAATCGATTTTGAATAACATAAAAATCCTTAAACATTCCATGAACTCGTTGTTGTCTGGCCATGTCTGCATCTATTATACTCCTTATTGCACTAATAAAATTGCTTTCTCCACGCCGACTCTTTAAATACATTATTATTAATAATATTATCTCAAGTTGTGTGGAATGTTGCTTTGCGACCATGAATCGTGGTTTGCCTGTGTTAGGCCTGGGCGGATAATGCTTGTTATTTTGCGGGATAATACTAATGGCAATGCCAGAAAAACTGAATCAAAATGCTACTTATAATGCTGCTGTTCCCATGTAATGCCAGCATTTCACCAGTAGTAAGTATGGAAAAATGGCTTGGTTTGGGCAGTATTGCTGTTCGTTTTGCTACTCTTTCTTTTTCCCTCCCCTTCTTTCTATTTATCGCCGTGGTTGGCAATCACCCACTCTCGTAATATTGGCCGGTGTTTCCGCCGAGTCTTGAGATGTTGCAATAAATATTAATAATAATAATATTGTGCACGTTTCATAGTTCTACGAAGACGGCATGGAAAATGCCAGAAAATCATGATCATAAAGCTAATTTTATGCTGCTATTGCTCCATACAATCCCTTGCAGCTAGCTGTCCAGCGGGGAATGTCTCAAGTGGAGGCCTCTCGATTTGCTCGCTCATTCGCCTGGCATTCAGTAGCACTTCATCGCCAAGGACTTTAATTCAAAACAGGTTTCACGCTGCGCTTCAAGCCTTTTTCCTCGTGAACTTGCTGCAAACGTATGAGCTCTGCTGCGCGTGTTCCCTTTGTGTGAGGCCCAGAAACAGCTAGTATTTCCTTACTTCGATTCGCTGGATCGATGTCGTCCAAGTTCTCCTCGCTATCGCCATCACGACTGTAACTGGAGACGATTTCTTCACCATTTTCCGCAAGCACCGGCTAGCGCAGAAATTTCGCCATCCCTGAGTGTAGGCCCTGAGATGGAACCGGTTCGATCAGCTCAAAAAACCCTTCGTTGTTAACAGTAGAGCCTAGAGGAGTAGCAGGGAATATTCTCCCTGGGAGCCTTTTGACTTCCCTGACTGCTGAAACCCTTCCTGCCATGACCGCTACTTCTTCAAACAAGCCAGATTCTCTTTGGTTCCACTTCTCAGTGTTCGAGCGTCCACGCGACACAACCTTTTTAGTATTTACAAAACATAATTTTCTCCAAAAAATGATTTTCACCCTACAGTGCCTAAGCCTCGTTTTCGCATAAGTTGGGCCATTTGAGTATAATAATGACGGTTTTGTGGAAATGTAGTGTTATAATGCTAGCATAATGCTCGTTGCAAATCGCACACTATAATGCTACTTATAATGCTAGCATTATCCGCACAGGCCTAGACCGTATTGTCCAATGGTCTTGCCAGTATCGTCATCGACATGCACGAATATACGCCAACGTCCTTCACAGCTGAGACTTTCAGCTTGTGCTTATCTTGGTTGCGCTCACCTTCCCCTCCTTATGTTATTTCTATAACTTAGAACCTTCCACGTTGGAAGGCTGTTGAAGTGCGTCTCAAAGATGTGCTAGAGCTGTTAGCCAGTTAATCGCAGAACGTCAGTACCGTCGGTCAGTGTCGTGCAATGTTATCGCATGAGCTGATTGTTTAGTAACTGGTGGAGTTAGTGGACAGTATAGCGTATTTTGTAGTTCCTTGGTCTTTCTCTTTTGTATAAATTATTATTATTATTATTATTTTTGAAAGGATTGGAATTAATCACTTTTATCTCCCTTCTGGTAGGGTCCAGAAACTGACCGTGGTTGGTCCCCCGGGGAGGGAGAAAGACCCATGTGCCATCAGTATGTGTGGCACGTGTTGTGAGCTGCCTTTGGAGTGAAAAACTTCTCTGCGCCTTCTAGGTTCAGCCTGGTCCCATAGCTCAGTGGTTATTATTATTATTTGACACAATCTCATAGCATGTGACAAGCATAGCTAATGCAGGGACAGAATCCCCTGAGACAAGGGCGTTGAGCCAGCCACGGCAATAGTAAACTAAGTTAGAGCATTGCCCATGACTGACTGTATTCTGCACTGCCTATGCCTCGATGGTTGTCTTCAACTGAGCAGTCATGTCGCAGTCAGCCGCTCCGAATTTCTTCTTTGCCATGCCAAAACCTCCATCTACGGAGCACCTCGTGTGCCCAACAATCATGAACGACAGGTGGATATCCTTCGCCAGTCCTGCCATCACCCGCCAACAACAATATGCCATCACTGTTTTATTTTTGTTCTGCCCACTTCAATTATCACAGTGGTCATGGAGAACAGAAGTATAGGAGTGCTTAGTTAATTGCGCAACATGGAAACCACGCAGTTAAGCCCATGACACTTCCCATTGTATGCACCAATGGCTTGACCTTCGTCGTAGATGTGATGAACCTGTTCCGGGATGGCTTCCTTGATTATACCAAAATCATTCACGCGAAATAGCACTTTAAAATACACCGGCCCTGGTTGACGACTGTGATAAGGTATGCCAAAGTTCTCCAAATAGTCAAAGGTGACATGCATGAGAGCAGCTGGGTCCTCCTTAGCACGTTTAATGCGATCATTGTAGAATTCTCATTCAGTTATAGCAAGGTTAATGTGTGCCGCCCACTCTTCATATAGGACTTTCTTGTCCTTCTCCGAAGTCAATATTTGCAGGCGGTTCCTAAACTGCTCGCATCTAGCGCAAACATCTTGGCGTGGGTCCATGAATTTTACTTGTATGTGTTCAGATTTCCAAATCCGTTTGAATGTACTCAGGCTGACGAGTCGCTGGGTTTCCACGTGTGCTTTGCAGTAGTGATTGTAGACACTGACATACATTTCAGAGGCTGGCAAGTATGTGGGTGCATCATTGGCTCTTCCACGTGGTGCTGCTGGCATGGGTAGACCATAAACGCTAGCATAGTTTTTGATAAACTTTGAAACTCCATGCCGAACTTCAGCGTTGTGAGCGTTGCCTGGGGTAGAACCTGTGCGTGCAAGAGGCTCAGGAGAACAGACGTTATTAGTACACAGATCCTGTAGTCTGCGCAGGTACCACAGGCCAATGTTGAACGAGTACATGAGCACTTCGCGACACACTATCCGACCAAACAAATTGTAGCGACAATTCACTCGCTGCCTTGGATTACTAATCACCGTTCCGCCGTGCGATGCGTCATCTGTGCAGATACCAGCGGATAACACCCACAGAACGAATGAATCTTTCTCCTTTTTTTTCATAGCCAGCGCTTGTCGGCGGATGGTCAAAATTTCCGGAGCGAAGACAGCAGTGAAGTGGTTTGCGGCGTTGCACTTGCAACATCTTTCAATTCTAGCGATGACACTTGTGATCGTCACCTCCGCTTCCGACACTTCTCCAGACGACTCGTGAGAACTAAGTGACACGTGAACGTCCAGTTCTTTGCCTAATTCACTCCCCGTGTGTCAGACAGACAAGGCTTCTTCGCTACTGGGGACGACGGCGGAGATTCAGCCTCGCTGTGTACATCATCCTCAGATCCAAAAAATGTTTCATCGTCGCTCTGCAGACCGGCCGCCACGGCCTCGCTGACACCTGACCAAACTCTGGCCATGCACAGCGATCGTCTGGCCTTGCGCGCTGCTCTCGCGTCGCTTCTAGACATGGACATGACACTTTGCTCGCCAGCTACTTGGACTAGACCGCCAAACAAGTGTTTGAACGAAGCTCGACAAGAATAGAATGATGATCGCCACCGATTGATGAATGAAGCGCAGCGGGAACGCGCTGGACTAAAACATTTTTTTTCATTCCATCATTTCTCAATATTTTTACGAAACCCCAGACATGTTTTAGCTGATCGTGGCCCATATAGTGACATCTTGTGCACCACCACATTATCACAAGTATTTCAATCCGTGTCCAGCAGTCTCTAGCCACGGTCCCTGTGTTTTCAAGCATGTAGGAAAAGGAATACTCTGCTTGCAAAAAAGTACAAGTTGATCATAGAGCTGTTGCCCCAAATCGTAAGTTGAAAGCGTATTTATCTGTAGATATTGGAAAATTCAATGTACTGTGTTTTCTCGCCTGCAGCAGTCATTCCAACCTCATCGTTATACAGACTTGGCACCGTGATCGGCGCTGGTATTGGCGGGATGGTGTTTGGGATATTGGCAACGACGTTGGTGGCCGTAATGGTGTATCGGAAAATGCAAGGAAAACCGGTGCAGACTGAAGTTCCGAATCAGACACAAAATGCAGCATACGAAGATGCTAATATTGCTGAGAGTTCCCTTATAAAAAGTGATGCTTACGGCGTTGTAGAATCCTCCCCACAACCACAGTATGAATTTATCTGCCCACAGTAACTGATTATGCACTTTTCATTCGGCTCTGCAATTCGGGTTGCTTTCCCTCTTTCTCTTATTCGTTTAAGGTTCTCTCGGAATACATTCTTCCATTTTTACCCTGGTGTATTTTATTTAGGCTAGATTTTCAAAAAAAGCGTTTAGCATTTTCTCACCCCGCAGCATTCAGTGCCATCTTATATTATCGTATCTTCGCAGAAACTTTCTGTTCCTTCGGTGAGTTTCTTTTCTGGAAATATTCCCTTGTTCATGCCAAAATTGGTTCACATATCTTTCAATTTCAACCTTCTTTCGTTCTAGTTAAACAATGAAATTCAAATGTATGATTTCTAGTAACATTATCCTTATCGGAACCCAAAGCTCCTACATAGCGAACCTCATTACCATGCTACAACTAATATCCTCTTCGTGAAAGAAGTCTTGTATTGGTCATGTCATTAACAATGCTAGCTATTTGTCTAGGGCAATACTGGGTAAATGAACAGGTGCTGTTCTCACTCATGTTATTCTGTGTTGTTCCTCTGTCTACAAAATTCTCCGTTTAACCGAATACAAACTCCTCGCCTCGTGCCTATACTAAAGTAAGGGTTAGGGTTAGGGTTAGGGTTAGGGTTAGGGTTAGGGTTAGGGTTAGGGTTAGGGTTTAGAAATGTGCACAAGGCATAGTCGCAGTAGGGCAGCATGGCAGTTTGTCGAACTATTTAGAGTGCGTGGAGTAGGTCCATGTCCCGACCGGTTTCGCTGTCTGTAGCTCATCAGGGGACGCTTTAAAGAAAAGCCGTGGACTAAAAATTAGTAAAATGTGAGTAGGGATATATAGTGGGTTTTTAGGTTGGTTTTGGTTCGGCAGAGGTGTAGAATATAGTGCGGATCTTGTGCTAGCGAAAGAATGCGTGAGTATATGGACTTATGCCGAAGCCGCCAATGTAGAAGTATGAAAAATTAGTCGCTAGGCTTACCGAAGATGCCTCTTATGAGATGAATAGCCGAGATATAACACTAATGGCCGAAACCGAAAAATGTATATCAACTTAGAGACCTACGACAGTGGCGGGGGGCACGGGAGACGCCACCGCGCAAAGAATCTAAGTAAATAGTACGACCACCGCGAGGGTGGCATGCCCCGGCGATAAGGGTTAGGGTTTAGAAATATGCACAAGGCATAGTCGCAGTAGGGCAGCATGGCAGTTTGTCGAACTATTTAGAGTGCGTGGAGTAGGTCCATGTCCCGACCGGTTTCGCTGTCTGTAGCTCATCAGGGGACGCTTTAAAGAAAAGCCGTGGACTAAAAATGAGTAAAATGTGAGTAGGGATATATAGTGGGTTTTTAGGTTGGTTTTGGTTCGGCAGAGGTGTAGAATATAGTACGGATCTTGTGCTAGCGAAAGAATGCGTGAGTATATGGACTTATGCCGAAGCCGCCAATGTAGAAGTATGAAAAATTAGTCGCTAGGCTTACCGAAGATGCCTCTTATGAGATGAATAGCCGAGATATAACACTACTGGCCGAAACCGAAAAATGTTTATCAACTTAGAGACCTACGACAGTGGCGGGGGGCACGGGAGACGCCACCGCGCAAAGAATCTAAGTAAATAGTACGACCACCGCGAGGGTTGCATGCCCCCGCGATAAGGGTTAGGGTTTAGAAATATGCACAGGGCATAGTCGCAGTAGGGCAGCATGGCAGTTTGTCGAACTATTTAGAGTGCGTGGAGTAGGTCCATGTCCCGACCGGTTTCGCTGTCTGTAGCTCATCAGGGGACGCTTTAAAGAAAAGCCGGGGACTTAAAATTAGTAAAATGTGAGTAGGGATATATAGTGGGTTTTTAGGTTGGTTTTGGTTCGGCAGAGGTGTAGAATATAGTACGGATCTTGTGCTAGCGAAAGAATGCGTGAGTATATGGACTTATGCCGAAGCCGCCAATGTAGAAGTATGAAAAATTAGTCGCTAGGCTTACCGAAGATGCCTCTTATGAGATGAATAGCCGAGATATAACACTAATGGCCGAAACCGAAAAATGTATATCAACTTAGAGACCTACGACAGTGGCGGGGGGCACGGGAGACGCCACCCCGCAAAGAATCTAAGTAAATAGTACGACCACCGCGAGGGTTGCATGCCCCGGCGATAAGGGTTAGGGTTTAGAAATATGCACAAGGCATAGTCGCAGTAGGGCAGCATGGCAGTTTGTCGAACTATTTAGAGTGCGTGGAGTAGGTCCATGTCCCGACCGGTTTCGCTGTCTGTAGCTCATCAGGGGACGCTTTAAAGAAAAGCCGTGGACTGAAAATTAGTAAAATGTGAGTAGGAATATATAGTGGGTTTTTAGGTTGGTTTTGGTTCGGCAGAGGTGTAGAATATAGTACGGATCTTGTGCTAGCGAAAGAATGCGTGAGTATATGGACTTATGCCGAAGCCGCCAATGTAGAAGTATGAAAAATTAGTCGCTAGGCTTACCGAAGATGCCTCTTATGAGATGAGTAGCCGAGATATAACACTAATGACCGAAACCGAAAAATGTATATCAACTTAGAGACCTACGACAGTGGCGGGGGGGCACGGGAGACGCCACCGCGCAAAGAATCTAAGTAAATAGTACGACCACCGCGAGGGTTGCATGCCCCGGCGATAAGGGTTAGGGTTTAGAAATATGCACAAGGCATAGTCGCAGTAGGGCAGCATGACAGTTTGTCAAACTATTGAGAGTGCGTTGAGTAGGTCCATGTCCCGACCGGTTTCGCTGTCTGTAGCTCATCAGGGGACGCTTTAAAGAAAAGCCGTGGACTAAAAATTAGTAAAATGTGAGTAGGGATATAAAGTGGGTTTTTAGGTTGGTTTTGGTTCGGCAGAGGTGTAGAATATAGTACGGATCTTGTGCTAGCGAAAGAATGCGTGAGTATATGGACTTATGCCGAAGCCGCCAATGTAGAAGTATGAAAAATTAGTCGCTAGGCTTACCGAAGATGCCTCTTATGAGATGAATAGCCGAGATATAACACTAATGGCCGAAACCGAAAAATGTATATCAACTTAGAGACCTACGACAGTGGCGGGGGGCACGGGAGACGCCACCGCGCAAAGAATCTAAGTAAATAGTACGACCACCGCGAGGGTTGCATGCCCCGGCGATAAGGGTTAGGGTTTAGAAATATGCACAAGTCATAGTCGCAGTAGGGCAGCATGGCAGGTTGTCGAACTATTTAGAGTGCGTGGAGTAGGTCCATGTCCCGACCGGTTTCGCTGTCTGTAGCTCATCAGGGGACGCTTTAAAGAAAAGCCGTGGACTAAAAATTAGTAAAATGTGAGTAGGGATATATAGTGGGTTTTTAGGTTGGTTTTGGTTCGGCAGAGGTGTAGAATATAGTACGGATCTTGTGCTAGCGAAAGAATGCGTGAGTATATGGACTTATGCCGAAGCCGCCAATGTAGAAGTATGAAAAATTAGTCGCTAGGCTTACCGAAGATGCCTCTTATGAGATGAATAGCCGAGATATAACACTAATGGCCGAAACCGAAAAATGTATATCAACTTAGAGACCTACGACAGTGGCGGGGGGCACGGGAGACGCCACCCCGCAAAGAATCTAAGTAAATAGTACGACCACCGCGAGGGTTGCATGCCCCGGCGATAATGGTTAGGGTTTAGAAAAATGCACAAGGCATAGTCGCAGTAGGGCAGCATGGCAGTTTGTCGAACTATTTAGAGTGCGTGGAGTAGGTCCATGTCCCGACCGGTTTCGCTGTCTGTAGCTCATCAGGGGACGCTTTAAAGAAAAGCCGTGGACTGAAAATTAGTAAAATGTGAGTAGGAATATATAGTGGGTTTTTAGGTTGGTTTTGGTTCGGCAGAGGTGTAGAATATAGTACGGATCTTGTGCTAGCGAAAGAATGCGTGAGTATATGGACTTATGCCGAAGCCGCCAATGTAGAAGCATGAAAAATTAGTCGCTAGGCTTACCGAAGATGCCTCTTATGAGATGAATAGCCGAGATATAACACTAATGGCCGAAACCGAGAAATGTATATCAACTTAGAGACCTACGACAGTGGCGGGGGGCGCGGGAGACGCCACCGCGCAAAAAATCTAAGTAAATAGTACGACCACCGCGAGGGTCGCATGCCCCGGCGATAAGGGTTAGGGTTTAGAAATATGCACAAGGCATAGTCGCAGTAGGGCAGCATGGCAGTTTGTCGAACTATTTAGAGTGCGTGGAGTAGGTCCATGTCCCGACCGGTTTCGCTGTCTGTAGCTCATCAGGGGACGCTTTAAAGAAAAGCCGTGGACTAAAAATTAGTAAAATGTGAGTAGGGATATATAGTGGGTTTTTAGGTTGGTTTTGGTTCGGCAGAGGTGTAGAATATAGTGCGGATCTTGTGCTAGCGAAAGAATGTGTGAGTATATGGACTTATGCCGAAGCCGCCAATGTAGAAGTATGAAAAATTAGTCGCTAGGCTTACCGAAGATGCCTCTTATGAGATGAATAGCCGAGATATAACACTAATGGCCGAAACCGAAAAATGTATATCAACTTAGAGACCTACGACAGTGGCGGGGGGCACGGGAGACGCCACCGCGCAAAGAATCTAAGTAAATAGTACGACCACCGCGAGGGTTGCATGCCCCGGCGATAAGGGTTAGGGTTTAGAAATATGCACAAGGCATAGTCGCAGTAGGGCAGCATGGCAGTTTGTCGAACTATTTAGAGTGCGTGGAGTAGGTCCATGTCCCGACCGGTTTCGCTGTCTGTAGCTCATCAGGGGACGCTTTAAAGAAAAGCCGTGGACTAAAAATTAGTAAAATGTGAGTAGGGATATATTGTGGGTTTTTAGGTTGGTTTTGGTTCGGCAGAGGTGTAGAATATAGTAGGGATCTTGTGCTAGCGAAAGAATGCGTGAGTATATGGACTTATGCCGAAGCCGCCAATGTAGAAGTATGAAAAATTAGTCGCTAGGCTTACCGAAGATGCCTCTTATGAGATGAATAGCCGAGATATAACACTAATGGCCGAAACCGAAAAATGTATATCAACTTAGAGACCTACGACAGTGGCGGGGGGCACGGGAGACGCCACCGCGCAAAGAATCTAAGTAAATAGTACGACCACCGCGAGGGTTGCATGCCCCGGCGATAAGGGTTAGGGTTTAAAAATATGCACAAGGCATAGTCGCAGTAGGGCAGCATGGCAGTTTGTCGAACTATTTAGAGTGCGTGGAGTAGGTCCATGTCCCGACCGGTTTCGCTGTCTGTAGCTCATCAGGGGACGCTTTAAAGAAAAGCCGTGGACTAAAAATTAGTAAAATGTGAGTAGGGATATATTGTGGGTTTTTAGGTTGGTTTTGGTTCGGCAGAGGTGTAGAATATAGTAGGGATCTTGTGCTAGCGAAAGAATGCGTGAGTATATGGACTTATGCCGAAGCCGCCAATGTAGAAGTATGAAAAATTAGTCGCTAGGCTTACCGAAGATGCCTCTTATGAGATGAATAGCCGAGATATAACACTAATGGCCGAAACCGAAAAATGTATATCAACTTA